TTGGAATTGAGAAGTTTAGCATCTTTTTTTCATGAGATCATACTAGCTTTTTTTAAACATGAAACAAAAGTGCGTAAGGGTTATCAAAACAAAATAGTCGAACATTTTCTTAGTTGCCTCTCCGTACCCAGTACAGCAGCTGCCTAGCTTAACACACACGTACAGCGATAACACGTGGAATTTAGTATGTTTTCTAGATTTTCAGAATTCCGGAAATTTTGGTACTTTATTATACAATTAGTCCATGCTACATATTCCCCAACTTTTTCAATGCTAACCTTGTCCGAAGTATCGTTCTGGCAACTGTGCTGAACAACACCAGCCAACCATGTCATAAGCCTCTGTAACGATACTATGACTCGAGATCGGGACGCCAGCGGTGCCGTCAGCTGTACACAGAGTCTGGCGCATGAAAGTCTCCATCTGCTAATCGACCACATGTCCCGTCTGTATTTATCCTCGTTCTTAGTGCAAATGTATGAGGAAAACTATGATGGCTGAAATATATGGGATATACCCTCCCCCACTGCCTTCAACTCCCAACTCCCAGTTTTCAACCCCTACAATTTTTTTCTGAAAGTGACTAGGAGCCTCTGAAACGTCCAAGAACCAAGTTTGAGCATCTTTTAAATTTCTCGTCTTTTCCCTGTCATGCTATCGACACTAAACGTATTCCAAGAAACCAACTAAAGCTAAAGACTCCATCTAAGTTCGACCATTACGGACGGCCTAGGGATTAGCGGACAGACAGACGGACGGAGTTGAGTGACACGGTTTTTTGTGTTGAACTAAACTTATCAAACAACACATCCAGAAAAAGACGAAAGTCGTTAGAAATTGTTAAACTTCATTACGTCATTTTAATAGCCAATCCTTACATTCCTAAATATTTCAGTACGAGTGAGACGTGACCAATGTTAGGTATATCTCGTTAAATAGGAATCTTTCTTGAATATCTGTACAATCGGAATAATACTAGAAAACAGCATCTAAAGCTAGCAGAAGGATAACACGGTCAAAAGGCACGCAAACATTTACTCCCAGTGAGAACAGTAAGTTCCGGATCCATGGCTTACAAATCTGGATGCATGAGTAGTATGCAGTATACTTATGACAGAACAATGACGGGCACTGCAAGAATATCTTCAAATATCTTGGGATATTTGATTTATTAGCCTTGCTTGTATATGAAAATTTAATTTGTACAGGGTGTCTGCGAAAGGTTGGGAAATTCCGAAGCTACAGATACTACAGACCAAAATATGTAAATTGACCTTAACATACCTTAGTCCAAAAGTTGATAGTTTGCGAGATAGAGTGTGTCAAAGTTACAATTTTATTTTCTATTTTTCGTTACTGCCTGAGAAATATTTCAGTTTTTGGCATAAAACTCGATATAGGGAGATTTTCTAGTATGAGGAACAAGACTCTGTTATTTTTATGGCCAAACCTTTAGAGGGCGCCACTTGCAGCACTATTTTGGTAAGTAACTTATCACAACTTTTTTGTGCTACCCTGTATACAACAACTGATCGAAAAATATTATTTTCTGGTATTTCCACAATAAAAAAGTTCACTTGTTAGAAGTATCTAAAGCTTTTCGAGATATGTGTTGTTAAAGCATTACATCTTGGCAATCTGAACATTAAATGCATATCAGAATATTCATCAAACGTATACTCCATGATGTTTAACAACTTATTGTCAACTTTTTATTATTATTCATGAAGCTTAAAGCAATATTACGATAAGCATTAGAAACCATAGCAACGCTTCTCAGATATTATCCAAAGCAACTTGATTATTATGTTATAAACATTTTTTATCATCATGGTAGGTACAAATAATGCATTGGAACTTTTAAAAACAAATATCTCGAAAACTATTCGGTTTAAACACTTCTAACAAGTAAATTCACATATTTTGGTCTGTAGTCTCTCCAGTTTTGAGATTTCCAAACCTTTCGCAGTATATATACTAAGTGACATATAAATCTGAACACCCAGTTTAAATGGTTTTATTTTAATAAAAGTTGGTGAATGTATTTATCTTACTGTAAATAACAAGTGAAAAAATTTTCAGCCTTATCAGTTGGACATTCCGGTTTTTATACTGCTTTTTTTTAATTCACTAACGCTCTAAAAATGAATATTTCAGACGCAGTAAAGAATCAACGTTGGCGGATTTTGGTTCTTGACATCCTTTACGATCGGTTACGATGCCTAGAGTACGGAGACCTGTACGATTTCTTCAACTTAGTGAGTTTGATAGGGGCCGTATAGTTGGACTTCGGGAAGCTGGACTTTATTTTCGGGCAATTGCAGTTAGAGTGCAAAGAAGTGTAGACACTGTGGTTAGGTGTTGTCAGGCATGGCTTCGAGAAGGCCGTACGCAAAGAGCAAGGGGCACTGGACGCCGCCGTAGAACAACAGACCGTGAAGATCGCCGCCTAAGATTATTGGCCTTAAGGGACCGTTTCTCCACTACCAGGTCCATTGCAAATGAATGGTTTGCAGAACACGAAAGACCTATTGGCATGCGAAGTGTTTACCAACGAATAGAAGTTTTGACTTGTTTTCATACCGGCCACACTGGGTCCTCCCTTTAACTCGAGAACACCGACGTAATCGCCTTGAGTGGTGCAGACAACGGTCGCTCTGGGATCAGGAATGGAACAGTATTGTCTTTAGTGACGAGTCTCGATTTTGTTTAGGCATGCACGATGGTTGTGCCAGGGTTAGAAGGCGACGTGGTGAAAGGAGGAATCCACAGTTTTTTGTTGAAAGACATGTTCATCACACTGTTGGAGCTATGGTTTGGGGTGCTATAGCTTATGGTTCCAGGTCACCTTTAATCTTCATCAGAGGTAACATGAACGCGCAGCGTTATATCCACGAAGTTCTAGAACCCCATCTTTTACCCTATCTTGACACCCTGGCAGATTCAACTTTACAACATGATAATGCCCGACCACATGTTGCAAGAGTCACAATAGACTTCTTTCAACATAATGATGTCACATTGTTACCATGGCCACCAAGATCTCCCGACTTATCCCCAATTGAGCACGTGTGGGATATGATGGGTAGGAGATTTGCTCAATTTGCAGCGTCCTCCTCAGACTCTAGAAGCACTTCGAGAGGAGTTGGTGGTTGCCTGGAATGAGATACCACAAGAGGACATTGACCACCTGATCAGAAGCATGCCTAGGCGCGTTGGAGAATGCGTAGCACATCAGGGTGCATCTACACTTTATTAAAGGTCAAAGGGCTTTGAAGCACTGCAATCATTTTGAAATTTTTATCATTTACTTATTATGCTTCATTAAGTACTTATACAAAATTTTATTAAAATAAAACCATTTAAACTGGGTGTTCGGATTTATATGTCACTTAGTATAGTTGAACATCAGCTGGCTTTGATGAACATGATACAAAAAATAAAAAGCACCTTATAAACCAGCGGTACCGATCCAATGAATCAAGATCAATTGGAATCGATCTGTCTCTCTCTCCCTCTCTGCCTATTTTCAGTTTGCCAGAGTGGCTTCAAGGATGAAATTAAAAAAATATTAAAATGATATGAATAGTTTTAAGATCATGTCAAAGCATACGCTAGGCGCCTGTATTACATGCATAATTATTCGTACTAATTTTTTATCCCTGTATATAATTCTTTACTCCTGTACTGCTTATTATATATTTTTGTACCTATGCACATTTTTACCCCACCTGTATTTTACTTGCAGGGACGCGCCAAACATGTTTTAATGAATCTATCTGTCTAAACAATGTACTACCTCGAGATGCAGCCTCTATATTTGAATAATACGCACACATGATACTTTACGTTGCTGCTTTTTTTTTATAATACATCCTGACAATATAAACCGACATCGTATTTTATCAGATATGCTGGTCCTATTCAAAAGCAAAATTTAAATTGCGTACTGAGTTATCCATTACATTCACTGTAACGCCACTGGGCGTGAGAGTGCACGAAGCGGGCTCTAATAAATAGGAAAACCTTTCTTCGCAAGTTTCGCAAGAAATCTGTATTTATTTACCATCGTGCGTCTTTGTTTGACACTTAAACTGTAGGTTTCGCCTTCAGCAGTTATATATTGACGCAGCACAAAGTAAAAGAGAAGAGTGCCTTTTCGCTGAACAGGAGTACAATCATCTGCTTACTCAAAGCCGTGTAAAGTTGGAACGCAGATACCGTATAGTACAAAGGAAAATCGTGAATTATAATTTACAAAAGTCTTTTCGCAGTAGCTCACAATGGTGATCACAAAGTTGGGTTATGACACAATCTACGTACAGAGTACCCCGCGCAAAACATATAGAAAACGGTACCAGTTGACTTGCCTAATAAATTAATATGGAATATTTCTCGTCTTTCCGAACAAAGATTCTTATGAGAAAAAAGCAAAGACTAGTTTCTAAGAAATAGGGGGATGAAGTTTGTCCGATCTCGAAAAATGTATGCGTTATAGGAGGGAGTTAGGCGTTAGACAGTGCATTCAAGAAGATGGGTTCCATAAACTTGAATATCATTAATTTGCTTTGTACTTTGGAAACTGCCGAGGCACGTCACTAAACTAGTCCATCCAATATCGGAAGTTAAAACAATGCTCACGCCTTTGCGCTTTCCCCTGCATCTTCAATATGAACATGATCTTGATTTGATCTTGTAAATGTCATGATCAAAGATAGTGGAACAACCACAACCTCTCTGTGCTCTTAAAAAGCGAAGTGTACTATTGGGTTCTCTGAATTCTCTAACAACTTCTGTAAGATCTACTCCGGTATTAACATCTGAAAATGTACTTGCTCTTGAATAAAGCTTTTAAGGATCTTGGGCAGCATCAACTTGACACCTTCCAACATCTTCCTAAACCGATTTTCCGAGCTTTTAAGTCTTGCATATGGAAATAAAACAACACGGTAGGTAGTTTTAAATGACTTTATTGTTTTTCGAAGTATTCTCCAGGAAGATTAATACATCTGCATGCGCTCGAACCAATTTTCGAAGGACTTATTCCGCTCGTTTGCTGGCAGATCCAAAACGGCATTTTTTAATGTGTCAACTGCTGCTTCTGGTGGCTGGAACCTTTGACCACGCAGTCTGTTTTTAATTCTCGGAAAAGTAAAGAAATCGTTAGGACTTAGATTGGGACTTTATGGAGGATGGTCCAACAATTTCAGGTTTATTCCGTTAAATACTGCCTTGTTTTTTGGGCTGCGTGCGAGCTTGCGTTGTCTTGGTGGAGGATGATTCTTCTTGATGATGAGTTTGCGCAGAGCATCGACGTTTTCCCGTTTTTGGTGCACCCACCCTGGGATCGTCGCTAAGACTCACCACACCAACGGTAAATTGTCGACTGATGTGGTGCTTCGTTGCCGAAAACAGACAGTAACTCAGCAAGGCATTCTTGTTGCGATAATTGTCTCTGAAAGTTGAAATAAATTAGGGCGCGAAAATGTTCTCGGTTGAGTTCCATTTTTCTAATGACTTGGTGACACTTAAAAAATCACTGTAGTGAGAACACTGCACGTATTGTTATGAAACTTTGAATTTAAGTTGATAATAATAATATACGCCTTCATTACAAAAAAATATGTACACGGTACATACTCAAATTGGGACTCAACTGGCGAAGTTTTGGCAATGCTACCCTTACACTTAACCAGCTGAATCAATAAATACAGTGACGTTGAATAAAAATAAAAAATAAATATATATATATATATATATATATATATATATATATATATACACATATACACATATATATATATACACACATATATACACATACATATATATATATATATATATATATCGTGCGCTTAAAAATAATATTAGCTTCTCAACGTAATACATATAAAGTCTGATTGGATGATGAATGTGGAAAGGATAGTATCAGTCAAGCAGCCTGATCCTTACATGCTTACGAAAATCTGCTAAGCTCATACATTTAAAGGAATATTCCAACGAATTATATAGAACTGCCGAATTATAAGAAAAACTGCGGGTGAATAAGACTGTAGAGTGAGGCGGATTCTGATACTCAACCTATCTCTAACCAACCGATCATGAACAACAAAGTTGAATAGAATTTTTTCTCTCAAGTAGGCGAGCTTCGAAGGGGTTATTACTTTGTGAATAAATACTAGATGGTGATATTCGACCAATTTATCAAATTTGCGCAATTTCAGCGTCCTGTATTTCTGTGATACATGGTCAAATTTTCTCAATCCACATATAAAACGGACACAATTATTCTGTATTATTTGAATTGTATTTTTCGTTATTTTGTCAAGGCATGGGAAATAAAGGATGTTACAGAAGTTCAAACAAGACATCACTGGCGTTTTACACAGTTCTTTCCTGAGCTTATAGTTCAGTAAGGACCTACAAGAGTGCAAAGGGGGTAGGCGGAGGTAAGTTTTTTGAGCAAGACAGTTGATATGATTATAAAACCTTAACTTCTCATCGACCTCGACACCTAAAATCTTGGCAGTAGTACCAACCTGAAGAAGATTTCTGTCAATAAAGATATTCAGGTTACCTTTGACGTAGTTTCTTTTATTATCGGTACAAAAAACTATGATTTTTGACTTCTCAGGATTAACTAATAAATTATGATTGGCTGAATATTTACAAACCATGTCAATATCACGTTGTAGCTCTATATTAGCTGTTGGTAACTCACTAGCTTTAAGATAATTTACTATTTGGGTATCGTCTGCAAAAGATTGCATTTCAGAATTTTTCATTACTGCATATAGATCGAAGGTGTAGGTGAGGAATAAGAGAGGACCTAGGATAGATCCCTGAGGCACTCCATATGGTATGACACTTGGGACAGAGCTCTGTCTAGATGGAGAAACTTCCTGAACTCGGTCGGTTAAATACGCACAGAAAAATTTAAGTGAGGTATTATCAAAGCCAATATATTTCAATTTAGCCAGAAAAAGGAGATGATTGATTCTATCAAATGCCTTAGAATAATCAACCGATATCAAAGCTACTGTGATCTTTTTATCAAGCGCACGTAGCTCATTGTCGCATAGATTTAATAAGGCAGTGCTATAGTGTTTTCTGAAACCAGAGTGATTAATGGATAAGATTTTGCGTTCTTCAATGTAAGCAGTTATTTGAATCTGAACGATCTTTTCTAACATTTTTGATAACACCGGCAATATACTTATTGGTCGTAAATCTGAAAGTTGGGTTGGTTTGTTAATTTTAGGGATAGGAATAGTTCACTAAAGAGTGGCGTTAAGATTCAGTACTGACGTTCGATCCGCGCGGCCTACTATGTTTCGATATGCAAAACTTAAAAGACGTCCCTCGTATCTCCCTATTTTACTGAAGCTAACCATAGGATCACTTTGGCTTTTGAGCTTATGTTCATAATGTTCCCATAATGTTTCGTGCGGGGTCATTTCAAAACATTGAAAAATATTCCTTCGAAGTCAACTGGAATTTTTGAAATATTGATCCGGAAATTAATGATACAATGTGTGTCGAAAGTACAGAATATTCGGAGAAGCTAAGAACCTGAGTATTACTACATATAGCGCATAGTAACCTAGCGTGAACCCATGAGAAGTACTCTGGTTGGGGAGCTTTTGAAGATATCCGATAGAGTCATGGACAAATGTTGGTTCTATAAAACGTTTAGGTCTGTCCCATATATTGGGAAGCGAACTAAAGCTACCGCTCTCTGAAGATCGTATTTTTGTCTGGAGATAGTATCATCATTCAAAACAGGCAAGGACCTGATAATAAAAATGTATAATCCACAAAATTGTTTGTTTAGCCATTTAATGTACCTAGTTACTCTTAACTGCTTTCGTGTAAATGGATGACCGCAGGGTAGATACTTGCGTTTTTACAAAGCAGCAGTAAAAAAAGAATAAGAAATGATTGATGAACTCCACACATACTTTCATAGTGGTTTTATTTTGTATTCGTTTATTTTATCGGTAACGATCATGAATAGTAGAAACCCAAGGCCAAATATAATGTAAATATAAATGTAATTAATATGGACCTAACCTATTTCACATCGAACCTTATTAATAACATATATTAATAAATATTAACAAACGGATATCTCGTTCATTAATAATTTCTATGCTTATCGTCTGTTAATATTGATAAATATTATCATAGCTATATTTTCAGCAAATAATTATAATTTCATTACCGTATAGAATTGGCAGTGAAGCCACTGTTATACAGGGTGACTTCGAAGTTGAGTCATTTATTTTAACAGTGAGTAGATCTGATCAAAAGAAATGTTTTTTCCCTTTACCATTTTTCTGGTAAAATTAAAGTAACAAAGTTATAGCCCTTCGGAAGTTTGAGTACCGCCCTGTCTCAATAATAATATTATGTGCTCGTGTTTGCCAACAACGGATATAATCCGCCTTATCGGTTCATCGCATCGGAAAAAAAAGCGAAAGAATTTGGAACGATGTTTTTACAATTATTTTAGTCAGTTGTATACAGTCAGTGTCAGTCGGTAACGGGTGAGTGAATAGTAGTGTCTGTTGTGTGGCTCAAACGAAATCAAAAATGGCACATGTTTACAAAAATGCTGAACTTGTGGACATGATTCTTATTTACGCGGCATCACGGATTTATGCGGATCGGTTTCCCAATCGAGTGCAACCAACCCCTCGTGCCTTTGTTAATGTAGTACAAAGGGTTCGTGAATCAGGTGACTTAAGACCTCACAGGGGAGGGCATGCCGGTGCTCCAAGACCGCACGATCAAATACAGGTCCGCACTGAAATACTTGTCGGGAGGACACTTTATAAAACAAGGTAACATTTTCTTTTAATTTTTTTTTTATTTTTACACACATATTTTGGTTTATCTTCCTTCTACAATCATTATCTGAAAATTAATGACTCAACTTCAAAGTCACCCTGTATATGTCCCAATTTACTGGTTCGGTCTTCTGGAATAGTTGTCTCCTATATCAAAAGCTATTAAGAACTGTTGCTCACGTCAACGCTATGAGTGAAAGAACTAATTTGCTGGTGAGCATTTTTAAATCCACGATTTCATCCTTTTTTACATAAATCAACGGCTGCGTCCATGCAGAGTAAACATGAGACACAGAATACCCTTTTAAACCGACGTGATGGGCAGTCTGTGATGCGGCTCTCTTCCACCGCTATGTCAATGGGTTTTGCTCCTCAGAGCTCTTATCCATGACGCCGTCGCGCGACGAACCTGTCAGACAGATCCACCTGACTTCGGCTTCCCAACAGAACCGCGGCTAACTTGGTCCCTATGTTCTTAGGTTCAAAAATCGGATTAAAAAAGTGTTTTTAAGCTCCTTCTATCAGCTGGGATTCACCACTATTTAGGATTCGGTTCACGCGGCTGCTTCGGCAGGGGAGGGGAGAAATATCTAGATTGCAACGTTTTCAAATGGGTGAAAACTGTGGATTACATGACCCTTTTGACTGACTTGATCCATTTTACTTTTTTCACACATACTGATAGCTTACTGTCTTCTCATAGGGGATTATCCCTTATGAACGGATGACAGCGTTGCGTGGGAAGCGTAGAGTCAACCTACTTGACACGATTTTTTTAAAATATATTTGCACTACATAAAGCTGTTATTCAGAATTCGAAACTCTTTGGTGTCATACAGCAGTTTAAAATTTAAACGTATCCATTTTCGAGATCTGAGCTTCACTTTTTTTCCCTAACCGCAAAACTTCCATTTCACTCTCCTGGCGTTGGCTAACAGCAAATTCGCGTAAAATGATTACAAGCCAATTACGGTGCCAGTTGATTGAACATAACCTACAATTCAATAAATCACAGTCGATTTAAACTCTTTCATCGAGCCAAATTTGCCGTCATGCCGCGTTGCAATTCTTTACCATGTCGTTATCACGGTATACGGAATACAAATAGTAGGGTCACTTGCCACTTGTCAAACCAATTTTTGATTATGACCGCCAGCCCCAGTTCGAGCCAAAAGCAGCTAAAAAGGAGATTTCTAAGAAGAGCGAACATAACAAGCTAGCTGACGGATTAGTAGAAACTAGTGGTGGGCAAAACGTATCTATCCGATACAAAAGATCCGATACTTTCCGAAGTCAGAAGTATCCGATACTTTTGGATAAATGTATCGAATACTGTAATAAATACCGACAATCTGACTATTTATACATACTGTAGTGTAGACAGAGAGTGACAGAAAAATAATGAACGGTTATGGCCAAATAATTTTCAACAGCTGTGGATGTCCAAGTATCTGTCGTAATCGTCAACTACTAAGAATTTTTTTGTAAATTCTTTACTTTCTGAACAACTTCATCATATGTTTGGGGCAACAAACTGTTGCTTAAAGTTTTTCTTGAAGGAATCAGGAGGATCAAACTCTTCTAACAATTCTGCGAACCCTTCATCTTCAACAATTGTAAATGGCTGCATGTCTTTTATAATCATGTTTAAAGC